AAGCAGGCGGCATGATTGGGAAGATGAATGTGCGCCAGTCGGGCAGTCGATTTGATTGGGGCGGCTGCACCCTCGAAGCTTGGTCCGGCGCTGGCATGAACTTTTTGACGACGGCTGTCATCATCGAAGAGGCGGACGAGAAGGCCAAAAACGCAGAGCATGGCGGTGATGACTACGGCATGGGCAAGATCATGGGCCGCTTCGTCCTGGCACCACGATGGAGTGATGAAGAGGAATGGGTCGTGAACCCTGAAGACCTCAAGATCGACGAGTGAGTCTTGTTTACGGAGCAGCTCTCTCTGGCGTTCATAGACATATACATATGCCCGGACTTCATCGCGGCGGTAAAACGGACGCAGGTGCGCCCACGCTAAATGGAGTTGGTTCAAGATTTTCACGTATACCTTAGAAACAGGTGGCAGATCATACAGAGGCTTGCTGGCTTGGGGTGCTTCTCAATTCGGAGCAGCAAACGCAACGGGCGGAAATATACCCTTCCCCTTTTCTCCACTGGCTCGAATCATATGAAGCCAGGCAGAGAGCTGGCGAACATGATTGAACTGGTAACACCACTGTATTGGTTCATTGGTGCCCGGAAAAGGGACAGACTGCGTATACAGTAGTCACCCCATTGCATACTCGTCGCTCGCTGTCGGAGGAAGGCGAGAGAATTTCATTGCCTGGTTTGTGATACCGCGGAACTGCAAGTGCTTCGGCTAACATGGTGTCACATCCGGTCGTGGCATATTGGTGGAGGGTGACAAGACAAGTCCCTCTGTCATTATTCACGCTTGATTCCAAGAGGTATCCGTTTCGAAAAAAAGACTGCCGTCGTGTCGTAGGTCCCAAGCTGAAGCTCCAATGGCTCCTCTGAAGAACGCCTGTTCGCCAGCCATCTATCAGGCCCAGACTTATGTACATGATATACGGTGCCTCTCCCAAATCAATACAAGTTCCGATGATGTGTTCTCATACCAGCGACCAGAAATCCCGTCGCTCCGCAAAGAATGGAAAGCGGAAAATAGAGCCGAGCGATTGACACATCCACGGAATGTCAGGTCTCCTGTTTCTCAGATCCATTATCGCCTGCCGCTCAATCCCACGCGGCCACTATGCTGACTCTGTGCGTCCACCCCATGCAGGTCGTCCGAGGATACGCTCGGTGAGCGCAGTCTATCGCCCGTCCACTTGTCGACGCCCCCAGCGCCAGGGCCCTCGATAACATACATTTCGCTGTGGG